GTTTGTGTTTATTTATCTTAAATGGATAAGAATTAAAAACAAATAGATATTAATAAAAAAAAATATGATAAGAATTTTAACTCCCTTCTATATACCCAAACCTCAAAGCATCATATAGGATAGATTATTTTTATAAAAAAAACAACAACAAAAAAATTAATATATAGCAAAAAATCATGCATCATTCCCCTTTAGTAACAAAAAAAATGATAAAATTTAGGCAAAAAACAAATATCATGCATCTTTTAGTTTAGCATATACATTCATTAGAAAATGGAAGGCACATAGTATGTAAAGATTTTTGAGAAAGGAGAACATTCTAAAGAACAAGAATCGTGTGCCCTTATACTAAGGAGGCCTACTAAACTTTGAACTCTCGTCATCCTTTCAACAGAAGGCAAAGTCTACATCTTCTCAGACTTCTTCCAATTTAGAAAGATTTCTTTCCTCAACCCAAATAGGAGATTATTTGAAATTTTGAAAAGGAGGCACGCAAAAAAGGAAATTGAAGCAAAAAATAAAAAATAAAAAAGAGAGAAAAAGAATTTGCTTCAAAAGAACATAGTTTGGGAAGCTAAAGAAAACTACGCTGATGAATGAGAAATCGTGAACCTAGGGAGTTTTATAAAAAATTGATGATAAGCTCCCTTACACCTCTAATTCGTTATCAAATCGCTCCAAACTGCATCTTTCTTCTCTAACTCATCAACCTCGCCAATAAAGATGAAAATTTTGGCAATCACCAAAATAGTGGTGAACCCAAAGATCCTATTGACGGTTACTTCTGATGGGAATAGCAAGAAGAGAATCTGAGAAGAAACAAGAACTAATTGCAAATCAACGAACGAGCAAGCATGTCTATAGGGACATCACTCAAGCATTAGCTTCTGTAGCCTGTTACAACATCGTCAAAGTGCACCGAAATATTTGTACAAAGAATGTTCTCTAAACAAACAAATCAATGAGAATGATATTTGTTGAATTTCTCAATCACCTTTGCATCCTATTTTGCACTTCATATAGATAATATGTCTTCCTTGTAAATAATAAGAATAAAAAGAAAAATCTAACCTGTGTGTGTTAATCAAATAATGAGATCACTGGAAATCAAGTGCAAACTCGATACATCAAATTGGAAGCACTTAAAAACCAGTAATTGTGCAAGAAGACTGGGGGCATAACACGCCCAAATTGATGATTCAAACACCGAGAGTTCCCCATGCAGAAATGACAACCGTTGGGATAGGAGGAATGATCAAGAATGAATGAATCCTTGTTTCTAGGGAATTACAATAAAACTCAATTGAAGAATAAAGGCATTGCATGAAAATAAAACCCGCTAGGACGAAAATCCGTAGAAGGCGTCCTAGGAAAAAATTAGGGTAAAGGAATCAAAATCCCGATAGGATACATCCTATACAAAAGTCAGGGATATATATATAAAAAAAAAAAAAAGCAATGTCTGCTCAAGTTGAAAACTGAAAGGCGGCTTGAGTACTCCCTTTAGAAAGCAAGAATTCATAAAGGTTTCATTCCGAAGTCGAAACACCCACATTCAAGCAAGTGGGAATGCGTTCCTAACGTAGTTCAACCAATTTTCAACCATGCCTCTCTAGGGGGCAACCTCGGTTAATCTCTCTGTGTACGAATCACGAACTCGGGGCATGCCCAGGCCTCCGAGCTTTGCTAAAGGGGCACGTGTAAATTGGAAATACTGTTTTAAATGCCATAACATTCTTTCATTTCTCTTCTCCCTTTAAATATTCACTCTAGGCCTCATCCATTAACCCTTAATAAATAAGACGTATTTACGACAAAGATGTTACTCAACAATAACATGGAAAGGATAACAAAGGAACAATCAGGAGTCCAAACATGACTGGGCGTCCCATACAAACATTGCAAAAATGAAAGCCAGGTAGAAACCCACTAAGGGGGGCTACGCAAAATTAGGGCAAGATCCGCTACGGGCTCACATTCGAAAAGGGCAACCTAGGCAAAAGTAAGGATAAAAAATGTCTGTAAGAAACACATCCAAAGTGACCTAGGCAAAAGTTAAGACGTTAAAGCAGCGACCTGGGTTGAAAATTGAAAGGCAGCTCAGGAGGGATCATTTAATCAGAGCACGACCCCAAGTCAACACTCCACTTTCCAAAAAGGCTAAAACACAATGATAGCTTCTTTGTAGCAAATATGCTTTGTTTAATAACCCTAAACACCAAAGCCCACATTGGCCAGCCATTCTTCTAAAAAACCCTTTTGGAAAAAAAAATCCATTCTAACAACCCTTCTGAAAAAATACAAACATCCCTTCTTTCTTTTCTCTTGACCCTTATGGCATTAAAATGGTACCGAAAATATACACGGAGAATGCACAGTGAATACTCACAGAGGAAAGATCGAGACGTCCCCAAACGGAGTTGGGAGATGCTTGACTACACATCGACTAGATAATCAAGGAGCCACTGAAACCTTGAGTTCAAAAGAACATATCCCAGCTATAATCACAAACGGCATGGATAAAAAGGAATCGTTAACATTAACCTTAACGCGCACAGGTTAATTTCTCGACATTAAAAAAAATTGAATTGCATGTTTAGGACTAAACACATGAGTATAAACTGCATCGCATCCATATGAGGTAGGGGCATATGAAAAGGCGTTACACAAAAAATGGAATGAATAAAAGAATCATTTATGTCTTGCATATTCATTGCATCCATGCATTCTACTTGCTATGGGTCAGAAGGAGTCATCAGGACGAAGCACAAGCTAAATAGCCAACCATGAGCCAAGCAGTGGCAAATAGCAACCCCAAGTGATTCTATGTGCCCACTAAGCAAAGACATATCAATAGTGGAATAGAATAGAATCGACCAAACAAGCAAGTCTGTAAGCATGAAAAGGCCATCGCGCCCTACTCCTCAATTGAATGAAGGATGATCCAAGAGAATGCCAAGACCAGGAATGACTTCCTAATCAAAACCAGGAGTGGCTTCCAAAATAATACTCATCAATAAAGATTCAACAAATAACATCATCATGGAATAGATCCCTCCACCAATGATGACAATAAAAAAGCAAAAACAACATGAGAAAAAGGCAAGCTTCGTAAATGTTGAAAAAGCCTAAGCATTTAAAAAAAAACCAAAAAAGGCAAGCTTTAAACATGAAAGAGCCAAAGCTAAACAAAAATGAAATTCAGAAAAAATCTACCAAAAGCATGCGCCTGGAGAGGCATCACAATACTCAAGCGGCAGGGACAACCTTGGAATCCCTGCCAGTCATCCACTTCTTTGCCCACCAACGCAGGGGCACATCAAACATCTCCTGTAGTTGAAGATCTTGGAGGCGATTTTGACGTTCAGGGATGAAATGAAAACACTCAGACTAGATTCTTCTTCTTCCTCTTCTTTTGTTAGTTGGCATTCGTGAAAATGAGTAGTTAACCTTCTTCCTTCTAGAATTGAATGTAAACTATTATGCTTTACGTGACTTTTGATCTTTATATATATTATGATCTCTTCATTATGTTGTGTTTCAATTCCATTCTTAAAGCATTTACATTTTAATCATTTGTAAGTTGATTTTAGATTTGGAATTCTATTGAAAAATGTTTTCTAAATCTACACTTGAATTGAACTTCCTACCAACCCAAGTTGCTAGGAATAGAGCTTTGATCTGTAGTTAGGGGTGAGAATAGGTCAGACCAGACCAGACTTTGAATATATAGATTGGGCCTGTTTTGCAAAATTAAAATCTAAGTTTGACTTATTATCTATCATAAGTTTTTTTTATAAGTCTGGTCTGGCCTTTTTAAAGTTTGATATATTCTATTAGCCTATTTAAATTATTAATGTTAATTAGGTCAATAAATATAATTTTTAAAAATTAACAAAATTATTTTTAAAATATAGTTTACTCAATATTATTAAAATTTAAATTTTAAAAGAAATATAGGAGAAAAATTGAATCATTTTCTGTTGAAGGGACAATTCATGTGTAGCCATGTATATTGATGTACACTCATGTACAAATTGTAAACTTATAAATCCTATAATGAAAAAAAATAACTGTATAAAAATATTTAAATATTGATAATTTATTTTTGTTTTATAAATTTATTTTTTATTTATATTTTTAATAATATATATCTATATGTATATATTAATTTTTATTATATTATATAAATAAATAAGTTGATCTACTAGACCTAATAGACTTTTCTATAAGCCTAAGTCTAACATTTTTATATAAATAGGCTTTTTTAAAAGTCTAAACTTAGTCTTTTTATTAAATAGGTCAGATTATACCAGACTTTAAAGAGGTCAGGTCATAGGTCATTATTTAAGGTTTGACCTATTCTTATTCCTATCCCTATTTGTGATTTAAAAATAATTTTTCTTAATGCAAATTTCTTTCTTGAATTTGCAAGAAATTGGTTTTCAATGGAAAAATCTTAGAATCTCTTTATCAAGGGATTGATATTAAGTGAATTTAATCCTAATCAAAATAATGAAGAGTGGTTAACACGTTTATAGGAATTTATCTAAATAAACTTTAATTGAAATAGAAATTGGTTTGCAAACAACAAGAACATAAAGAATTCATCTTTTTTCAACATAAACGAGTTCTAAAAGAAAGTAAAATTGAAAATAGAGAAACTAATAAAATAAGAATTCACATTTGTTCAATATAAAGTAGAGTTCTAAAAAAGTAAAATAAAAATAAAGAAAGTAAAATAATGGCCATTAATGCGTTTTAAAAAATCCAAAGACTAATAAAACTTGAAAAGGAGTTCTTTCGATCAGAGGTAATTCTTGCATGGTTATGAAATTTGGAACTTGTTATCTCACTTGACCGTGAATTAATTGTGCCAAATCAATGGATTTTATTCTTAGTAGCTGATGAGATGTTACAGTTATGTTAAGCAACTATTAATATAACTTAATCTGTTTTTATATTTTCAGTCAATAAATATTACTGAAAACCAATTAAAATGTCTGTAATGTGCCAAAAGATGCAATAGAACTCAGAAATCACACAACGATCACTTCACCCCATGAAGAAAACACAGCCAAGTAGATATCCAAGTCAAGACCAAGACGTAAAACTGTACAAGAAAAACTATTTTTCTAAATCCCACTCAAACTTTCCCAATGGCTAGCCAACTCAAGCAGGGTCTGTGTAGAAGAACCATCCTTCAGTGCATTGGCAGCAGATTCTTTTAAGTTTTCCATTCTTTCATGCATTCCTTTGCCTTCTGCCCCATCCATGAGACACTTTACCACCTTTGCAATTTCCTCCTTCTCAACTATGCCATTCTCATTCAACTTTGGCCTCAATGCCACTTTAAGTCCATTGGTTAACAACACTGCATTCATCTTCTGCTCTGCAAAGAGTGGCCATGTGATTAGCGGTACTCCCTCTTGCACACTCTCCAAGGTCGAGTTCCAACCACAATGGGTAAGAAATCCACCAACTGAATTGTGACTAAGGATCTGAATCTGAGGTGCCCATAAAGGCACAACCAAACCTTTATCCTTTGTCCTTTCCAAGAACCCGCTTGGTAAGAATTGCAAAGGGTCCTCCTTTGCAACTTCAAGATACGCAGAACTAGCTGAATTACTTGGTGCTCTCAAAACCCACAAGAACCTTTGACAACTCAATTCCAAACCCCAAGCTAGCTCATTAATTTGTTGTTGAGAGAGTGTTCCACCACTTCCAAATGAAACGTACAACACCGAACAAGGTGGTTGCTTGTCCAACCATCTCAAACACTTACCCGACTCATCAGCCTCATTGCTTGACCCTTTCTGTGTAATGGGTCCCACTGGGTATAATTTGACCTTCCCACCTCCAAACTCTCCCAACGCTCTTATAGCACTTGATTCCATTTCTATGAAAGTGTTGATCAAGATCCCATCAGCTGTAGCGAATGCTTTGGCACGTTGAAGAAACTGCTTGTAAATTTCACTGGATCGGTTTTGGACTGGATCCGGAAGATCAACCCCCATGACTGGTACACAACCTGGTAACTTTATAGGTTCTGTTAGGTCCGCGTACTCACCTGAAACTTCCTCATCCATTTTTAGCGCGTGTAAAAGCAGTGACAATACCAAAGCTGAACTAGGGAAGTAAAAATAGGACAGGGCCTTGAACTCCTTTGCAAACTCCAAGGCCTGAAACGCAAAAAGATCTACCACCAAAGCAACTAAAGGGTCTTTGGAGAATCATAGGTCGCAAGATCGAAAATTTTCGGGTTGCGACAATACAAAAGATAACCTAAAATTATGTATAAAATATATATTGTTATTAAATGATTGCAATTATGCAATATCATCTTAATGTTTTATATAATTTTAAAGAAAATTATATCATTATATAAAATAGTGAATTTATTTTTAAATGACACGTTTAAACTAAACGACAAAAGAACAAAGATAAATAGTTTTACCATATTAATCTCAATAAAAATTATATGAAAAGTGACGATGTGGTAATATAATAAATAAAAAAACAAGCCGGTAAAATATCAATTGCTATAATACATCATATATTTCAGTTAACTTCATGTTCATTGCTTTCAAGCAAGTGGGATGAATAAATTTTTTTCTTAATTAATTAAGACCAAACCAAACTCATGTTTAGTTTGAACACGCGACCATTAAGACCTAAAAAACAAGACAGCACTATTCCTAGTAAAATATAACCAACAAAAGCAGAAAGAAAACTGTGATAGACAAAAAGGTAACCTAACTGCTATAACATCATCAAAGAAACAAGCAAAAAGCATTTCCTTTGTCTTTCTCTTGCACCTTTATTTTCTCGCTTCGTCACCACGGTGTTCTTTATTTTCAATGGCAATTTAATTTCCAAAAACTTTAATCAACACATTACATATATTAAAACTATTCTCAATCACTTTCCCTTTCTCTTACATCTTTACGTTTTGTTCTTCTTTTGGAAGGAGAAGATGCTTCTCTTTAATTTCAACGGTAATTTTCTTAAAATTTGAACGACCACGTTATTATCTTAAAAATATGCTTAATTTGATTGGATCGAAGGCTTTACATCGATGAACAGATTTTGATGGAGTTGCAAACTCACATTTACTGTTAATTTTCATTATATAGTTTGGTTTCTAACAAAAAGATACATAAATAATAACTTGACTATTTTTTTTAAAATTTATTTCCCTTTTTTCTTAATCAAACAAGGAAAAATAAGAAGGGTTTTCTGTTTACGTTTCCTTCTCTTCAATTTTAATTTTCTCATCTTCTAGATTCAATGTCACTCTTTTTCTTGAACTAAACGAAGCAAAGTCATATAACATAATTTTCGCAGACCAAATTGATTATACCCTTTTAATAAAATAATTAATGCTCCACCAGCTTCCTTCTGGAATACAACAATTTTCTATTGACCAAAAGCCCAGAAAAATTTAAATCTATTTGCGGAAGTAATGGCCATATTTGTTCACGCCACATCCACATTTATTCTTTAGCCGGAATAAGAAAAGAAAATGGTTTTGAATTCTCTTCTCTCATAAATAAATAAATAAAATTTATATTTAATCAGTCATATATTTTGCGTATTATCATATAGAAATGTATTAATACATAGTTATTTTTTTTTTCCATATGATAATTACTACAGTTGATTTTTTAATAAAACGTGATTTAAGATTAACATAAATTTACTAAAATAAATAAAAATTTATATTACTTAATCAAAATTAGATTTACGAAATTGTGTCCTTAAAAGAAACACGATAAGAATCGTAAAATCTTGCATACCTTTAGTATTCACAAAAAAATAAAAATAAAATAAAATAAAGTACTAGCATATATTTGGACAAAATCAAATAACTGGGCAAGAATGGCATGATCGAGCACGGGTTACAAACATTATTAACGAACTATTTTTTTTATTATTTTTTTTACTTTTAATCTTTAATATTACCTTGAAAATAAAGGAAATTTACCATTCTTAATTTCTTATTTGAATTTAATTTAAAGGCATTCATAATGTAAATAACTATTAAACTCTCATTTTTTTTAGAGTGTTTTTAAAATCTCAATCTCATATAATTACATGTTTATAATATATGATATAATGATAAATATGTAATTTTTTAAAAGTAATTATTTTAAGAGTTATATTTAACATAATCAAATATGACCTCCATCTATTCTCTAACTAAAATAAAAATCATATTTATGATCAATTTATTACCTTTCATTCATAACATCAAACATTGTAAATAATAAATCAAAGTCTTAAATAACAAAGTTTACACATTCTAAATTTCTAATAGAAATATTTAAGTCTCAATGCCTTTAAAATTTAAAGTCCAAGCATACCAACTATTAACCAAATATTAAAGCCAGTACATCAAAGTCTAAATACCTTAAAACATAAAGTCTTAATTAATATCTTAAAAACAAACATAAAATATTTGTAAGTCCAATTACATCTATCAAATATAATCAACCATCTCCAATAATAAAATTTGAGTCCACATTTAAACGGGTAATCCGCGGGCTCGCGGATTAAATCCGCAAAATCCGCAGACTAAACGGGCCGGGCCTAAAAAGTCCGTATGATTATACGGATTAAAAAAAATGGGTCCGTTATCCGTGAAGTCCGCGGACTTACGGACCGGTCCGCGGACTCAAGTCCATATAGGGTGCAAGCAAGCAAATATATATAAATAAATAAAAAAAAGATGAAAAGGTGGCTTGAATTACAAATTTACAATGAGCAAATAGTCAAATATGGAGCCCTTTCCTCTCTCCTTCCTTACTTACCCTGTCCTCACTATGTCTCTATATAGTTAACCCTCATTCCGCAACCGCCACCATTTCTCCAAACTCACACATACATACATACATAACAAGACATGGAAGTGGAGGTGGCAGTGCCTCCTCCTCCTTCTTCTTCTTCTTCCATGGACTTCAACTTCGACAGCACCTGCTCCTCCCCTTACATCACCGCACCTTCCAGCCCCCAACGCTTCCCCAACTTCTTCTTCAGCGCCCCCGCCAGCCCCACTCTCTTTAACCCCCGACACTCCTCCTCCTCCATCCCCAACACCACCACCCAAGCCGACTTCGACTTCGGTGTCCACCTCCCCAGACCTTCTCTTTCCGCCGAGGAACTCTTCCTCGCCGGAAAGATCCGCCCTCTTAAACCCCCCTCAATACAACCCATCAAAAAGTCGTCACCATCACCATCATTATCATTGTCGTTACCACCGCCACAACATGAGTTGCGTCCAGAAAGGGCTTCATCGTCTTCGGTTCCCGAGGAGAGAACCGAAAGAAGTGAGGAGGCAAGGAAAAGCGTGTCCGAGTGTGATGACAACAAAAGCAACAACAAAAGCGGAGAAACCTCGTTCTTGTGGTTCACGAGAGGGTACCGAAAGTGGAGGATAAAGGACTTTCTGCTCTTCCGTAGCGCCTCCGAGGGGAGAGCCTCGGACAAGGATCCTTTTCGGAAGTACGCGGTTCTGTCCAAAACGACGGCGCACGAGGATGTCCGGAACTCGAGTTTCCGGTCCGCGGGGAGTTCCGGTTCGGTTTCCCGACGGAGAGGACCGGTTTCGGCTCACGAGTTGCATTACACGGTGAACCGCGCTGCTTCCGTGGAGTTGAAGAAGAAAACTTTGCTTCCTTATAAGCAGGGCTTGTTGGGGTGCTTGGGCTTCAACCCTCCCATGCATCACTTCACCGCAAGAATTGGCTCTTCCGATCGTTGAATATTCTCTATTCGTTATTTCAGATCGATCACTCTTCTCAGACTCAGAGTTAGTGAGTTACGTTTTCGATTGTGATTTTCGGGATAGAGACAAACCTCCAACGCTTTGATATCATCTTATGAAAAATGTGGCTAATCCCATCACAATCATCTTGCTCTCTGCCATCTCCAGAATCTTAATACAATTGCTGTGAATGGTTCTTTCAAATTATGTTCTTCAATTTTCTTTCTATATGTTCTTATATATGCCCTTCTTATTCATTGTTTTTTGGTTATATTAATTAAAAAAAATTACATTATTATATGGATTTTTGAATAAATATTTTAAAAGATAAGTTTAGTTTGGATATATAATAGTTTGTAATTAAATAGTCTTGTTTATAATCTTATCATATTGTTGACTTTTTGTGCAGTAATTTTAAGTGTCTCATCTTTTATCTACTATTTTTTTTATTAAAATAAAAAATCTCATTCTTGCTCTGCATTTAACTTGATGGATCAATATAATAATTAACCTATTTGTAAGATATAAAAACAATCTATTCGGTAGAAAATTGTGGTTGCATGTGTAAAAAGTCTTCAGGTGAGTAATAGTCAAACAATATCAGATATGTAAACGTTATCACAATTCACAAACAAGATTATTCTCTAATATAATGTACTGGGAATACATGCCCGAGGAAAAAGAAAAGTCACAGATAGAGACAAAAACAGGATGAAATGAGTGTAACAGTGGTGAGGGATCTGACTAATTTGCATAACATCTTATATTCGTTAAACTCTGTTATGAATTATGATTTGTTTTTGTGATTTATATTTTGTCCACATATTGGTCGTTCAGATTTTTTTGGCAGGATTTGCGAAAATCGCATGTTTTGTGATGTCACCTCAGCCAAATCCTGTGTTTGCCTATACATTGACAAGTTGTCCACATGTATTGGGTTTGCACGTTGGAAAATAAACTCTGTATATTTTATATTCTTTGCGTGTATTTATGACTTTGCTTTGGTGAAAATTAATAGCTTACTTGTCAAACTATATAACAAATTGAGGATTTTAAAATTAACGTTAAGTACTCTTTCATAAGTAGGCTTTATCATGGAATTTCTTTTCTAACATGAACAACTGTTACCCACTATAATGTGTTTCCATTATGTACTTCTATAATTACCGTTTGTCCAAGTTAAAAAAAAAAAGTATATATATGAGAATTCCCACAACATTGCATGGCAAGAAAATAACTAAGATCTTAAATTGATATTAATATATATGACAAAATAAGCATGCTTAGAAAGGAAAGAAGCTTTTTTCAATATCATTAGGATGTTGAATGATGATTGTAATATTGCTGTACAGAGCAAGGTTTGTCGTTGAGTTGGACAGCGCCCACGGTCAAATTTTTCTTTTATTATTCAAATTCTGAACCAATAAAAAAACGACAAATGTTTCGTACATTTCGTTAAAGAAAAAAAGTGTAACATATAACACTGCTATTTCTTAAAAATACAGCGTAGGACTACGGGTGAAAAATCCGTGATTATTGTACCATCAACAAATATTGTGACGAGAGAAATGTTAATTGTACTTTATTTTTGTATGATGTACATAAAGGAGAGAATAAATTATATTATAAAAAAAATGGTATATAAATAAGAGTTAATCGTTGGTGTAAAATTTTTTATACAAATAATTAATCATATTTTTTAAATTATTTTATTTTATTTTTATTTTATTAAATAAATAATTCACATGATACTATTAAAAAATATAATTAGTTATTAATGTAAAAAATTTACACTAATAATATATAGGTGATTAACTCTATAAATAATACATAACTATTGTGGTGGATGATGAGATCTTTGGAAAATACCATTATTTGAAAGAAGAAAATAAATGCTACACGCACACCCCCTCGTGTTTGTAGGGTACGTGTTTCACCATGTTAATGTAGTATGTTTCACTTGTGGCCTATTTATAACTCGACGAAATGCACTTTTTTTCATGTACAAGAAGCATTATCCTACGTGAAGGTTTGGTGAGTCATTATTTAATCGAAACATATTATATATGTGAAGCCAGAGAAGGCGAGTCATTATTTAAATAATCTAAACTTTCATGTAGCAAGAGAAATTAAAAGTCTATGCAACTTTCGAATTTGCTGTGTCCTGAAATATGCTCTCTCCCCAAAAATTAATTCAAGGAAATTAAGAAATAAAGAGAAATGGGAATAATTTATATTCACGTAATTTTTATCCCAACAAGATGGGTTGTGATTTAAGCTAAATTCATTTTAACAGAAGCATTATAACATATTTCACACGTCCAAAAAGAAAACTATAACATATTTCAATATCTTTTATTTGAGAATTTCATAATTTTAATATTTTACCACCGAGTGTATGAAGTCAAGTTTCACATATCTTATATCATTAAAATTGGTAGTTCACTATTTATCTCCATATCAAATTCGGTAAGATTGAGTGTAAGAGGGTGTATTAGAAAAAAAAAATTAAGTTTCTCATTGACTAGAGATCATTAAAACATGTAAACAAATATAATTAAGGAACAATTCTCATCTTACAAGTCAATTATAATGTTAAATTAAACTCAAACCTACTTTTTGAGATGATATCAAAATTATCTAGATTCACTCTAAAATGACCACCCATTGATACACGTGCAAAGAATAGCTCTAGGCATGATAGTGTGTATTAGGGGTGAGCAGAAATTCCGTCCCCGACCGAATCCGAAGTGCCCGCAGGTAAGTTCCTTTGTGCGGCCGGTTTTTTGCGGTTTCTCGATTTTTCGGGTTTGTTAGAGTCGGTTTATTATGGGTTTTGTTGGTCGGGTTCGGATTAAAAAATTTGAATCCGTAGATATCCATACCCGACCGACCCAAAATAATTCAAAGGTGTATATTTATTCTTTTAGCACCGCGAGAGGAACCCTAGCCGCTGCTCACGAAAGTGACGAAACCTTCTCTTCTTGTGCTCAGAAAACCTAACCACCGCCGCTCAGCCTCAACGCCCTATTAAGCTTGTTCTGAAGAACAAACTTGTCCTTGATTTCAGTGGCGACCTTGAGGCGGTTCAGAAGCTCGCCAACATTCCCACCGCGTCCTTCCTTGTGTGTCGGAGATATAAAGCGAGTGCACCGGAAGACTGGGGAATGGGTTGAGTAAACTCCCCTGGGGCCGGAAGGGAAGGAGGTCCTCATACGGAGTCGCACACTTACTTGAGCAGTGCGGAAGACTGGGGAATGGGTTGAGTAAACTCCCCTGGGGCCGGAAAAATAACAGACGAAGCCTTGATTTTGGCCATCCACTTGAAGGCGTCGTCTAGGGTTTCGGCGTCGGTGAAGCTCTAGAGGAGGTGCTGGTAGCGCTCGAACTTGCGCTCGAATCCGACTAGACCGACCCGGTAAATCCGAGACCCGACAAATCCGAACCCGATAAACCCGAAACATTGTTAGGTCGAAAATGGGTTAAATTTTTTTTTGGTCGGTTTGGATTGGGTTAAATATTTTTTACCCGAACCCGTCCGAACCCGACCCGTGCTCAGGGCTAGTGTGTATTAGGAAAAAAAATCAACTCTTGTCTATCTTAAATCATTAAAAAGAGCCATCTATCATTGATACAAACAAAACTCTAGAATTATGTGTGAGTGGATGTATTAAGAAAAAACTCAAGTCTCACATTGATTAGAGATAAGACAAATAAAGAATTTACAAGTGGGGACATCCTTTACCTTATAAGCTAATTTTGTAAGGTTAAGTTAAGTTCAAATTCACTTTATAAAATGGTATTAAAACATATATTCTAGTTTTTATTGATTGTGGTTGGACCTATTGTGTCACTTATTACCTGTAAATGTCCTACAAACAACGTTCACTTTATCAATAATAACTAAGATCTTATTTTAAAACTACTTTTGTTTAAAATTATTTTTCCTTTTCTAATTATACTTTATTACTCTAGACCAACACATTATAACTTCTATTATTTTTATTTTTCATTTTATATTGTTTTCAAAATAAATACATATAGATAGGAAATGTCTTCACCCTACTATTATATATAAATTATAAAATATCAGAGAGTTTAAATTCAAAATATTATTTTTTTAAAAAAAAATCTGCAATATTGTTTAAATATGTGAAATAAATTAATCCAATTTTTTTTTAATTAGCTTTTTAAAATTAAGATTGTAAATCAAAAACATAAAAAAAAAACAAATGAAATTAAAAAATATAATTACCATATTCAAAAGTATTTAACATATACAGTCAGTGTGAACTAACAAAATTTTAACGTGAGTGAATTATTTAATTATATGACTTTTAAACTTTAAGAATTTTTTGAGTGCTTATTTAGAGACCTAATTAAAAACTTAGAAAAAAAAATATAGATTAACTGTTAATTTAACTAAAATAATATAAATACAAATAATATGTTGTATAAAAAATATTTGTTAGGTCAAAATTTGTATTATTAATATATAATCATTTTAAAAATATATTATATACAACTTGGTTAAAATATAATTCAAATTCATCAATATATTCGACTTCATTTATTAAAACCAAACTTGTCAAAATTTCCTTCACACGGGACCAGTTTGTGGAATGAAAAAGTTCATTGAAACCCTTACACTTAAAACAGAAGCACACAGGCAATGCAAGCCGCACAACCATCCATGCATTGAAGTTTAATTTGCTATTGAAGAGCCATGGACCACTCTGCTCTTAATGTCTTCCTTTAAACATTTTATACGTTGTTTTTCACATTTGAAAATTTTTAAATATATATAAAAATATTTTATAAATTGATTTAAATTTGGGACCAGTTTGTGGAATGAAAAAGTTCATTGAAACCCTTACACTTAAAACAGAAGCACACAGGCAATGCAAGCCGCACAACCATCCATGCATTGAAGTTTAATTTGCTATTGAAGAGCCATGGACCACTCTGCTCTTAATGTCTTCCTTTAAACATTTTATACGTTGTTTTTCACATTTGAAAATTTTTAAATATATATAAAAATATTTTATAAATTGATTTAAATTTATTTAATGAAGTATCATATAATTTTTAATTTTTTAAAAAAAATTTGTAAATTTAATCTATGTATTAAAATTTTTTAATTTAATAATTGAATAGTTGAAATTTAATTTAGAATATTAATTATTGAATGAAGCAAGTAAATCTCTCACATGAGTAACAAAAGGGTTCAAGTTAAAATTTTTGTTATGAGTCAATTTTATTATTAGAGAGTGAGATATGACCTACGATTATAATATACTTTTTGGTCAGGTTTTAAATTATATGAAAAATTAAATATAGTTGTACGTGGAAACATTTTAATGGATACTCACCTAAACGCTTACAATATTAATTTCATAATTTATTGAATTGGGTCTTTTGAAAGGAGCAGATGCAACTGGTCAGACGAGAGAACAATTGGCGCAGTCACAAATTCATTAGCGAGTTGATTATTCAATTTTTGACAAAAGTAACACCTATGCAAGAAGTTGTCGTCGTACTAGGTAGGGTGTAGTTAAGATTGAAGATTCCAAATTGTAATTAATTAATCCCTGCCAAATGAATGTGAAAGTTATGGATATCCAACTCAGAAAATGACGAAGAATTGGAATCGTTCCGTTTGATCTAAAGTTTTTGAGGGAGGTCCACTAATTCAAAGTAATATAAGGTTCAAATGGAACCCAAAAATTA